AACATGATGTGATGCAAATGGTGCTTCTCCTCTGTGGTCTTCCTCCCCAAAACTCAGAACCCCAGTCTAACCCTAAGAAAAACATCACACAAATACTGTCAGGCAGTCATGCTTACAAAATACCTGACCAGTACTCAAAACTGTGAAGGTCACCAAAATCAAGGAAAGTCAGAGAAACTGTCACAGCCAAGAGGAGCCCACGGACACATGACAATGGGATATAATGTGTGTTCCAAAAAAAATCCCTGGCTTGGATTTTGGAACAGAAATAGGATGTTAGGGGGAAAATAATGAAATCTTTAAAGTTTGGTTTTTAGTTAATTGAAAATATAATAAGAATTCCTTTATAGCTTCCTCCATTACATGAATGAGGACTACCAGGCACAGCATCTTGTGGCTCTAATTACAGCACTTTGGGTTTGAGGCCAGGAATTTAAGACCAGCTTGGGCAACACAGCAAGACCCAATCTCTACAAAAAAAAATGTTTAAAGGCTGGGTGCAGTGGCTTATGCCAGTAATCCCAGCTCTTTGGGAGGCCAAGGCAGGAGAATCGTTTGAGCCCAGGAGTTCAAGACCAGCCTTGGCAATATAGCAAGACCCCGTCTCTAAAAAAATAGAAAGAAAAAATTTCAAAATCATGACAACTGATGGTGGGAGTCAGATTTGCAGAATTAGCACTTACTTATTACTAGTACTTAGAAGACTCAGGGAGATAGACTGCCTTTAACTGTGCCCTGTTACCTCTTGCCACTTACCTTTGGAAAGTTACTTTACCTCTCTGAGCCTCCATTTTCTCATCTGTAAAATGGGGATAATAAATGCTACTTCATCAAATTATTGGGAGGATTAAGTGAGAAACATACTTAGGCCTGGCATGTAGCTCTTCCATAAATATTAATTATCTTTTCAGTTCTGCTTGCTATTCTCTCTCTGCCTTTAAAAAAGTTTGAGACTGAGCACAGTAGCTCATGCCTGTAATCCCAGCCCTTTGGGAGGCCCAGGTGGAAGGATCACTTGAGCCCAGGAGTTCAAGACCAGCCCGGGCAACATAGAAAAAACACATCTCTAATATTTTTTAACATATTTTACAAAACTATAGTGAGACCTCATCTCCACTAAAAATTAAAAGAACTCACTGGGCATAGTGGCACACAGCTGCAGTCCCAGCTACTCAAGAAGCTGAGACAGGAAGACAACGTGAGCAGGGAAGGCTGAGGCTTCAGTGAGCTGTGTTCACGCCTCTGTACTCCAGCCTGGGTAACAGAGTGAGACCCCCATGTCAAAAAGAAAGAAAGAAAAGAAAAGAAAGTTTAAATTTCCATAGTAGAAGGACACAGAACTTAAAATAAAAAAACCTGAGTTCAAGCCTTAGCTCTACCAGTTACTAGCTGTGAGACCCAATTTACTGAAATACTCCGAACTGTCATTCCTTCATCTTATACCTGTTTTTATCTATTTCTAGCATGGTGTCCTATATATGAGCACTTAATGTTTGACAATGATGGCAGAGAGTCTCAAATCTGTATCTCCAGTATTGTACTTTCCCCACCCCCATGCACACACACCAAGCTATTCCTGTTTTCTGGGGGGGGTTATTTTATTTTATTTTTTTGAGAGAGAGTCTTGCTCTGTCGCCCAGCCTGGAGTACAGTGGCACTAACTCAGCTCATGCAACATCCACCTCCCAGGTTCAAGTGATTCTCCTGCCTCAGCCTCCCTAGTAGCTGGGATTACAGGCATGCACCACCACACCTTGCTAATTTTTGTATTTTTAGTAGAGATGGAGTTTCACCATGTTGGCCAGGCTGGTCTCAAACTCCTGACTTAGTGATCTTCCTGCCTCAGCCTCCCAAAGTCCTGGGATTACCGGCGTGAGCCACCACACCTGGCCGACTGTTCTGGTTGTATGCCACCTTCTAAGTAGAAATGTTTGTATTAGGAGAAATGGGATGATGTAGAGGGATCCTGGAAAGTGCCTTAGAATCTGATAGTCTTGAGGTCAAATATCATTCTGCATTTACCAGCAATGTGAAATAAGGCAAGTTTCCTCATTTTAAACCGGGCTAATACCTAACTCATATAGTTCTTGTGAAGAATAAATGGGATCAAATGAGGTAATATGTATGACACTCAAATAGTAGTTGTTTATAGTTTTAGTCCTGCCCCAGACATGTCCATAAGTTAACTGTCCATCTTCTCTCCTGGCTCCTCCACTCCCACATCCCCCGGATATTCTTTCCTCCATCAATAGCATCATTCCGGCCAGGCGCCATGGTTCATGCCTGTAATCCTGGCTGAGGCAGGCAGGCAGGCTGAGGCAGGCAGATCCCTAGGTCAAGTGATCGAGACCATCCTGGCCAACATGGTGAAACCCCGTCTCCACTAAAAATACAAAAATTAGCTGGGTGTGGTGGCCTATGCCTGTAGTCCCAATTACTCAGAATGCTGAGGCAGGAGAATCACTTGAACCCCAGAGACAGAAGTTGCAGTAAGCCAAGATCATACCATTGTACTGCAGCCTGGGAAACAGAGTGAGACTCATCTCAAAATAATACTAATACTAATACTAATAATAGCATAATTCCTCCCCCTCAGCACTAGACTGAAAAGGCTGCAGTCTTTCTGGACCACCCTGATCATCATCCTCCAAATCCAGGCAGTCACCACCTACTGACAGCTTTTCCTTCTAAATATTGCATGATCCTTTCCCTGACTTTCCATTCCCACTATGTTTTTTCCAAGCCTTAAGTCTGGATTACCCCAACAGCATTTCTTTCATTCCTGCCATCAGTAGATAATTATCATAATCCTTTTAGGAGCCAGGTGCTAGCTATTCTCCCTAACCCATCTCTCCCTTCCCTCATATCTCATGGTTGCCAGATCTCATTCAGGCACCGCTGTGACCATGTCAGCTCAGAAAACTAACCCCCTAACTTCTACCACATCCAGTAGAAATTGTTCTGCCTAGCTCTCTAAAACCTTTATTCTGTTTTTAATAATTCAGCTTTTAGTATATATTCAGGAGGTCCATGCACAGGTTTGTTACATGGGTATGTTGCATGATGCTGAGGTCAGGGGTGCAATTGCGCCCATCAGTCAGGTAGTCAGTATACTACCCAATAGTTCCTTTTTCAGTCCTTGACTCCTCCCTCCTTCCCTACCCATTCTTGCGGTCCCCAGTTTCTGTTGTTGCCATCTTTATTGGCCATACTAACCCAACTTTATTACCTGCCATCCTCAACACAAAGTGTCCTCAGGCCATTCTCCTCTTTCTCCCAGAAAAATAACATACTCATTGCTGTCTCCAGGCCCTCACATGTACGTTTCCCTCAACTGGAATGCCTTTCCTCTGCCCTCAGTGGATTGAAATCCTGTAGCCACCTCGAGGTGTGCCACGAAGCCTGTCTTCACCACATTGGTCCCTACCAGTTCCTCCCTTCTGATCTTTCATGGATGGTCATACACGCCTGTGTGAAGAGGGTTTGTTGATATCCACACAGTTCATCACTTGCTGTAGAACTCTATACTTGCCACTTGCACACATACTGAGTCATGTATTCCTCTCAGCACCTCTGCAGCATTGGGAAATTAGAGAGTATTTTTTTTACAGATGAGAAAACTCAGGCCCAAAGTTAAGAAACTTGGTCAAGGTCATACAATAAGTTAGGAGGAAAGGAGTTCTTGAATTTGCATTTTCTTTCTTTAGTTCCAGTACTCAGTTTGGGACTCCACTGCTACCGATATTATTTCATATGTATCCCATTAGCAATACACATCAGGTGACCAGAAATCCTGGTTTTCACAGGAAGGTGCTGGCTTACTCCTGTTGTCCTGGCTTAATTATTACTATTATTATTATTTTGAGATGGAGTCACACACTGTCACCCAGACTGGAGTACAGTGGTGCGATCTCAGTTTACTGCAAACTCTGCTGCCCGAGTTCAAGCAGTTCTCCTGCCTCAGCCTCCCAAGTAGCTGGGATTACAGATGCCTGCCACCTCATCCAGCTAAGCTTTGTAGTTTTAGTAGAGATGGGGTTTCACCATCTTGGCCAGGCTGGTCTTGAACTCCTGACCTCAAGATCCACCCCCCCGCCCCCCACTTAGCCTCCCAAAGTTCTGGGATTACAGGAATGAGCCACTGCACCCAGCCCTGGCTTATTTATTAATAGCACCCACTTTGACTCTCGGAAGTGTCTTGGTTTGGGTGATAAGTGATATGGTTACCCGAGCTGTATGGCAAGCCCAGAGTTGCTTTTCAGTAAATCCTTGACTGAATCACTGGAGATTCTCAAACCTGATTTTTATCCCATTTCTGTTGCTTGTGTGTGGGTTAGCAGCTCTATGACCTGATGACTATGGCTTTCAAATATCAAGTATTGCTGTGTCCCCGACCCAAGGATGTGCTGCTGGTCACTTTCAATCATTTAGATACCATCAAGGGATTCATCCGAGACTCCCCAACCATCCTGCAGCAAGTGGACGAGACTTTCCGGCAGCTGATAGAAGTAAGAGTCCCATCAGGTTCTTGCCTCTCAGCCCCAGTACTTTTTTTCATCCCTCTGTTAAGAACAAGAAGGTTCTATGACACAAAGAACAGGATGAGGAATGGCAAAGCCTGCCACTCTCCCAGAATGTTCTGAAAATCTATCTGTGTCCATTTGGTAATGTAATAGGGATCATCATTTTACACCCTCTTACTGTTGCCTTCACAGTTGAAAAAGCAATCATACAGAGCATAGCCATTTTCTCCTTACTTTTCTGAAAGGGAGTTGGTGGTGGATGTTCTGCTAAATCTTGGGGAACAGCCTCTCCAGGTCTGTGAAAAATGGGAGAGAGGAAGCATACCCTTGCTTAGGTGTGGGTAACAGGCTTTGTCACCCTAGCGAGGGAGCACTGTTGGTCCCCCTGCTGCCCCTCCTGCCCAGCAGCCCAGTCCTCTCCTTGCCTATCTGGCTCCCATCCCTGAGCACCCACCCGCCCCACCTGTGTGTACTACTCATCCCTCTTTGAAAGTGAAGTTCTACTTTCTGCTTGCCTTTGGCAGATATATGGTGGTCTTTCTGCAGGGGAGTTCCAGCTGATCCGGCAGACACTCCTCATCTTCTTCCAAGACCTGCACATCCGAGTAAGTCAATGGGCAGCCCCAGGAACACCCAGGAGCTGCTGTACCAGAAAAACAACCTGGTAGTCATCAGGGCAGACAAGGACAGAGATTTTGACCAGTTAGTGATGTCCTCAGGGTTTGCCTCCCTAATGATAAAGATATTGATAATAAATCTCAGCAGTTTTTAAATGGACCAAGGAAGACAGTGATGTTGCCATTCTTTTCTGATTACCTTGTGAATTTCTTTGAAATACGGTTTATTGTGTTACTTCTCCAGAGGAAATGTGCTTTCAAGTCACCAGCCTGATCTCAACTGCAAAACTGTTTCTTGAGCTTTATTTTCCTTGACCACTCCGGTATCTGACACTGTCAGGAGGCTGCCCCTACTCCATGGAACTCTCACCTTTCCAGGTCTTTCATAGTTCCGTACCATCCTGGCCTTCCCTTCCCTTTCCTCTCCCATCTCAATGCCTTTTACTCCTTTCTCTCCCTCCACCTGTCTCCAAACCTTCCTCCTGTCTCTACCCACCTCCTGTTAATTAGGGGTCTCCTTCCTTGCCCTGTTGTCTACTAACTCCTGCCTGTGCCTCCTGAGTCTAACCTCTAGCCTACCCTGGCCCCACCCCTGCCTTCCAGACCCACATCTCCACCACCTTGCTGCTAAAACTTCCCACCAGGATGCCCACCAGTGCCTACAACTTGATGTCTATAGCTAAACTAATCTCCACAGTTCAGGTGCTGCCCTGACTTTCTCATTTCTTTTGAGGGCACCACCACCATTCTCCCATGCACTTGGCCCAGAACCAGAATGTCACCTTTGATTCCCCTTCCCTGATCTTCATCCAATTACTGCTAAGACCCACAGAATAGACCGGGTGTGGTGGCTCATACCTGTAATCCCAGCACTTTGGGAGGCTGAAGTGAGTGGATCACCTGAGGTCAGGAGTTCAAGACCAGCCTGGCTAATGTGGTAAAACCCCATCTCTACTAAAATACAAAAATGGCCAGGCGAGGTGGCTCACGCCTATAATCTCAGCACTTTAGAAGGCCGAGGCAGGTGGATCACCTGAGGGCAGGAATTCAAGACCAGCCTGGCCAAGACGGTGAAACATCATCTCTAAAAAAACAAAAATGAGCTGGGCGTGGTGGTGGGTGCTTGTAGTCCCAGCTACTTGGGAGGCTGAGGCAGGAGAATTGCTTGAACCCAGGAGGTGGAGGTTGCAGTGAGCCAGGATCATGCTGCTGCACTCCAGCATGGGTGACAAAGCGAGACTCCATCTCAAAATAAGAAAGACCTATAGATTTGGCCTTGTGAATATCCACACCTTCTTTTCTTTTTTTTGAGACAGTGTCTTACTGTTTTTCCCAGGCTGGTCCCTAACTCTTGGGCTCAAGTGATCCTCTTCCCTCAGCCTCTCAAAGTGCTAGGATTACAGGTGTGAGCCACCATGCCCTGGCACTCCTTCCTCTCCATCTCTGTTGCCACCACCCTGGCTCAGGCCCTCATACTCTTGTGGGCTATGCTTCCCAACTGGTCCCCTCTCCTCCTGCCATGACTACATAGCCAGGCAATTCTACACTCAAACTTTTAAAGACACATTTTATGGCCAGACACAGTGGCTTATGACTATAATCCTAGCACTTTGGGAGGGCAAGGTAGATGGATCACTTGAACCCGGGAGTCTAGGTCAGCCTGGGCAACATGACAAACCCCATCTCTACCAAAAATACAAAATTAAGTGGGCATGGTGGTGCGTGTCTGTAGTCCCAGCTATTTGGGAGGCCAAGGTGGGAGGATCACTTGAGCCCAGGAGGTCAAGGCTACAGTGAGCCAAGATCATGCTACTGTGCTCCAGCCTGGGCTGAGACCCTGTCTCAAAAAGCAAACAAACAAATAATAAAAATAAAATAAAAACACATTTCTGTAGCCTGGGTAACATGGTAAAACCCCGTATCTACAAAAACAAAAATTAGCCAGGCATGGTGGCATGCGACTATAGTCCCAGTTACTCGGGAGGCTGAGATGGGAGGATGGCTGCAATGAGCCATGATGAATCCACAATTCAGAGTAGATGTCAGAGTGAGACCCTGTCTCAAAAAAAAAAAAAAAAAAATCTGAGCTTCTGAATTTTGAAGCCTTATCTCTCCTGGACAGGGCTTTGTTTCTTCCCACTGTTTAACCAAATGATATGGGAAGGATGGTATGATATGGTAAAACAAGCCCAGGCTCTGGAGCCGGACCTGTTTCTCTCTCTTTTTTTTTTTTTTTTTTTTTTTTATTTTGAAACAGGGTCTCACTTTGTCATCTAGGCTGGAGTACAGTGGCACAGTCATGGCTCACTGCAGCCTCGACCTCCTGGGCTCAAGTGATCTTCCACCTCAGCCTCTCAAGTAACTGGGACTACAGGAGCATGGAACCACTCCTGGCTAATTTTTTGTATTTTTTACAGAGACAGGATCTTCCTATGTTGTCCAGGCTGGTCTTGAAATCCTGGGCTCAAGCGATCCGCCTGCCTAGGCCTCCCAAAGTGCTGGGATTACAAGTGTGAGCCACTATACCCAGCTTCACCTTTCTCTTTGAATCTCAACTCCAGAGCTGGGCATAGTGGCGAGTGCCTGTAGTCTAAACTACTTGGGGGAGGAATGATCCAAGATGGCCGATCGATAACAGCTCGGGATTGCAGCTCTCAGTCAAAGCGCAGAGAACTAGAGGACACTACACTTTCAGACAAATTCTGGTCGCTCACGGAGCAGAAGATCCCCAGTGGAGGAAGCTCACGGAGCAGAAGATCCCCAGTGGAGGAACCACACTGGTCGCCAGTGCGACTCTGGTGGCCAGCGCAGCGGTTTCGCCAGCACCTCGGCGCGGCAGCTCTCGGAGCAGAGTAAACAGGGCTGCCTCCCCTTCTGACCGAGGCTTGGAGGACCCACACGGGTCCCTGGCACGACTCCTGAGACCGGCGCAGCAGCTGTGACAGCACCTCCGCACGGCAGCTCTCGATGCAGAGTAAACGAGACTGGTTCCCCTTCTGACCGAGGTTTGGAGCCCGGGGAAGGCAGAGTCGCCCATTACAGACACAAAAAGGAAGCCAGACAGGAGAATCCTGGGCAGAAAAGCACCATCAGTCTTAACACCACCGTTCTGGCCCTGGGTACTAACAACTTGGATGTCCAATCAAGAGACCTAATCTGAAAGTTGGTAATTTCAAAGATGACAGGAGGATAAATTTACAATGATGGGAAGAAACCAGTGTAAAAAGGCTGAGAATACTCAAAATCAGAACGCCTCTCCCTCTAAAGATGATCACAGTTCCACATCAACAATGGAACAAGGCTTGATGGAGAACGAGCGCATCCCAATGACAGAATCACTCTTCAGGGAATGGATAATAAGAAACTTCTGTGAGTTAAAAGAACATGTTGTAGCCCAACATAAAGAAACTAGGAACTTTGAAAAAAGGTTTGATGAAATCCTATTGAGAATAGACAACTTAGAGAGGAATATAAGTGAATTAATGGAACTGAAGAGTACAATACAGGAACTCCGAGAAGTATGCACAGGTTTAAACACTCAAATTGTTCAAGCAGAAGAAAGGATAACAGAGGTCAAAGTCCAACTTAATGAAAGAAAACAAGAAGACAAGATTAGAGATAAAAGGATAAAAAGGAATGAGCAAAGTCTCCAAGAAATGTGGGACTACGTGAAAAGACCAAATTTACGTTTGATAGGTGTACCTGAATGCGACGGAGAGAATGAATCCAAGCTGGAAAATACCCTTCAGGATATTATTCAGGAAAATTTTCCTGAACTAGCAAAGCAGGTCAATATTCAACCCCAGGTAATACAGAGAACACCACAAAGATATTCCTCAAGAAGAGCAACCCCAAGGCACATAATCGTTAGATTCACCAGGGTTGAAACGAAGGAGAAAATACTAAGGGCAGCCAGAGAGAAAGGTCAGGTTACACACAAAGGCAAGCCTATCAGACTTACAGCAGATCTCTCAGCAGAAACTCTACAAGCCAGAAGAGAGTGGGGGCCAATATTCAACATCCTCAAAGAACAGAACCTTCAGCCCAGAATTTCATATCCAGCCAAACTAAGCTTCACAACTGAAGGAAAAATAAAATCTTTTATGAACAAGCAAGTACTCAGAGATTTTATTACCACCAGGCCTGCTTTACAAGAGCTTCTGAAAGAGGCATTACACACAGAAAGAAACAACCAGTATTAGCCTTACTAAAAATATACCAAAAAGTAAAGAGCACCAACATAAAGAAGAATTTACACCAACAAATGGATAAAACAGCCAGTCAACATCAAATGGCAGTAACCCTAAATTTAAATCAACTAAATCCCCCAATCAAAAGACACAGCCAAAACCCAACGGCATGTTACATCCAGACCTGTTGCACATGCAAGGATACACAAAGACTCAAAGGGATGGAGAAAGATTTACCAACCAAATGGAGAGCAAAAATAAATAAATAAATACAAAGCAGGAGTTGCAATTCTCGCATCTGATAAAATAGATTTTAAAGCAACAAAGATATAGTGGTAAAAGGATCAATACAACAACAAGAGCTAACGATCCTAACACCCAGATACATAGAGACTTAGATTCAATGAGACAGAAAATTAATAAGGATATCAAGGACTCGAACTCAGATCCAGAACAAGTAAACTTAATAAATATTTATAGAGCTCTCCACTTCAAATACACAAAATATACATTCTTGTCAATACCACATCACACCTACTCATAGGTTTAAATGAAATATTGATTGGCCATTATTAATACCCATTTTTTTTTTTTTTTCAGAATAAAGCAATATTTCCGTTCACCCACCCTCTCTCTCTTCCTCTTTCTTTCTCTCCTTTACTCATTTTTTTTTCTTTCCTTCTCTCAAAAAAAGAAATCAACTTGTAAACCTCTAGATCCAGGTCGGCAATGTCTCTCTCATTGCTTGAATTCCTTCCTTCCCTTCCCTCCCTTTCTCCCTCCCTCCCTCCCCTTCCTCCCTTCCTTCCTTCATCCCTTCCTTCCTCCCTCCCTTCCTCCTTCCCTCCCTTCCT